AAACATACCAAAACATGTGGCAAACGCAATCGAGTGGAACCTTCATGTACTTCAACTTGTGGACAATCATTTGTTACACCAAGATATTGCACAGCATGACTACTGAAAATTTAATATACAAGAAAGATTTATATCCAAGGTTAAAAAGAAAAAAAGATGAATAGGATATTGCAAAGCTATGGGATCCAATTAAATTAAGTCACTAAACTTTCAATCAAAAAAATTCTCAATGATTGATATCACTTACCGATTTCGTTTATTTAAATGAAGGACGGAGAAACATTCTCGACATAGAGAGCATTGACAAGTTTCACAATATATGCTGGCTAAAGTGCGACCATCATCGTGATTGTCACATAAGGTTTCCGATGCACTTTCTTTGTTATTCTTCAAAAAGTCTTTTTATAATAATATGAAAAAATGAACTAAAGAGAAAGTCTAATAGGTAAATAATTGTAGCTGGCTATATCCAAGACAAAAAATTTATTTTACTGTGTGTTATCACAAATGCATCGGATGAAATGGCCTGATGATTAGTTTGATTAGTATCATTAATTTCATCAGGCAACCCATGTACGTTCAAGATCTACGGTAGTTTGCACCGGATAAGCATGCTGCATTAAATAAACGGAGTTCCAATTTCGATGGATTCATTAATTACGAAAATTTTGGTTCCGATAAATTCTACGGAAACTTTATCAAACCATAAAGGGAATGACTGCTTATTCATACCTGTTGTTGCCATATTTACATTAATTTTAGGACTTTTTTATTTTAAGACTTTTTTCTTTTTTGAATACAGAGTAAGCAATTAGTTTCCATTATCTCTTATCCTTATAAGTTATAACTTTCTACAGTGCGAGACAAAAGGCTAACTTGTAAACTTTGCCATATCGATGATAACTCCAACCACTGGCTCTCTTTAAGCAAAGATAATGCAGCTACAGCAAGCCAGAATTTTCCACTTTTCAGCATACTTTGCCGAGAATTATTGGCATTTAAGAATTCGGAAAAATCCGAACAGTTTGGTTCTTCTGTCGCATTTTCTTCCGTTGCTATTTTTCCCGAGTGATCGCTATCATATGAATAAGTGATATTCAAAGAAGTTAAATTCATGATCTCATTTGCAATTTCTGTACGCACAGGCATTGTCCAGTATTCATTCAGCAATCCTTCACTATAACAAATGAAAAATTCATCATAACATTCAAGTTAGAATGTAAAAAAAGAAAAAAAGACCAGTATAACGGTTTTAGAAGTGAACGTACTATCCATCGAACGATAAGCCATATTTCATTAAACGCTTCTACTGATCATTAAAATCTTACTTAGGCTCTCGTCCAGAAACGTAATAATTTTATGCAAAATAAAACTCTAAATGAAGTCACAACTACAATCTTCTTGCATCCTGCAAATTGGCACACCTTGCACTTGCACACATAGGATTAATGTACTACTGCCATTATATGCGAGATAAGGAAGTGATTCTAAGTTTGAATATCTAGAATAGCAGATTGCTAGCCGTCTTCGATTGATGCTTCACAGTTACCTCAAATTTTCCAACAGCTGCTTTGCAAGATGCGCAATATCGGTGCTGACTGTTCGATCTATTCGCCAGTACATTGGTGCATCTGTCGTATGAGTCTGCAAAATTTCTAAACAGTATTTTTTCTCCAAATTAGAATACGATTTTGAAACTAATATTTTACACTCAACAACTTATATCGGGAAGAGTAATACTAACGGAAAGAATATTTGAATTGCATTATCGTATGGAAGCATAATATAACTAACAGCCAAAGAAGCTGAAATTAGTGATCGTGTCATCTTATCACGTATCTGTAATGTTATCACTTTTGTTATCAGTACTAGTAAATTCCGTGCAAAATTCGAGCAGTCGACTGCGGAAGGTGTGAATAACTTGGAAAGGCATTCAACTGTCTCTAATACTCGATATTGTACTGCCTGAAAAATGCAGGAATTTCAAGGATGAGGAACAAAATTTGACGTCTTAAAAAATGGCCCAAGACTTGATTTGTCAATCATTCATAAACAATTAGAACATTGAGGATGAGGTATCAAAAGTGCTTTACGCAAATGAAGTTAAAAAGTCAATATAATTTAAAGTAACTAATTAAGTGAAGTAAGATTTACCTGAGGAGCAAATAGTAAGAGTTCGGAAAGGATAATGAGGATGTTATTTTTAACACCAAATACTTCCAGACCTTGACGTGAAGCACAAATCTTCTGTAGCATTTCCATCAAACCACAAACATACGAGTAATTGCGCTTTGCTTTTTCACGCAGTGATGATACTTCCCTGAAATTCCAAAAAATAAAGGTATACAAAGGTGACGTTATTTGAGTCTTGATGTTGAGAAAATAAGAAAGTTCAAGTTTTCAGTAAATATATGGGCCAACTGTCCAACTGTGTTGTATCGTATGGTGACTTCATGTAGAATGTGTAAGCAACCCTTGGCTGTATGTTTCATCCTGTTCTTTCTACCAAAAAAAGTACGATGAGAGGTATCGTTAATCCCATCCATTATGACAGGTGTTTGTTTACTTATTTAATATGGGTTCATTAAATTCCAAAAACGAAAAAGCACACAAAACGGAAAAAGGTTAGAAAAAGTAGACGATCGTTATTAATCATTTTATAAAAGAACTATGGAATTATACGAAAAACGAAAACCTTTCCAAAGCATTAATCATGTGTGAACAAACAAATGTCTGAAGAGGTTGCAACTGTATACGACTAAACAACAGATTAAGCACTTGCTGTCGTAATGTGCTACTTTCTTTCTGTGAAAATTCATCACTAAATGCCTGAAAATTAACTCAATCTCATCAAAATAACAGAAATGAAATGATTTAACCAAAATTTAAGGAATAAACAGTAAGAGAATTTAATCTTGAATTACGAAAGTTAATTTTCCTTCTCTTTGCCAGCACCAAAAAATTTGAATATGAGGAACTTGGAGAAGACACGACATATTCCAGCATCCATAGTCTTCTTTTCAATTTTTTTTTTCCAGAGTTAGGCTTGCTGACCTGAGCAGCAATAGCTTGGAAAACTGCAAATGCATCATCCTGGTTAGCATTGAACAATAGCTGATGTGACGGTGAAGGTTTCAGCAGGCTTCGATTGGCAAAGGACTGAACATTAAAGACATCCAGTACAGTGCTAGTACCAAAAACTCGAAGCTGAAATTTCAAAATTCCTTAGAAATTTGAAGAATTAATGCGATTTTTCTTCCAAGCATAAATAAGTTTGCATTACATGATGATAATTCAATATGATGACTGAAGAAAGACAATAGTGAGGAAAAAATTTTCCTATCAGTTACTTATAATGACACTAAATGCATCTGAAAGTACTTGCAATTTCATCACTAACTTGACGTATACGTAAGGAGGGATCGGTACCACGAAATATCACTTGTACATAATTCAATCCAAAAATGCAGCATTTTATCCAGCCAATAAATTGCTAAAAATGATATTTATTTCGTTTTGCTACAAAATGGAAATACAGAAAAGCACATGAGTAAAAAATTAGCAAGTTCTAATATACTTTAAAATAGTCAACGTGAACGGTTTTTTTCTCTCAGAATCATTAATTACTGTAAAAGGTGGCGCTTGTCTTCGAAAAATTTCTACTATAACATATTAACTGAATAGTATTTGTAAAATTGTATAATAAATATGCATACATGATCAACACACTCAGAGTGAATCTTTCGACGCCTTCCATCGCTTTCTGCAGTAACAACGGTAACAGAACACGTCCGATAACCTTCATCACGAATATTATCCACATATACAGTAATCAACATTGCCTTATAACTTCGAATATCACAATGTACTGTCACGTAGCGCGGTCGATTTTTATCCTGAAGTTGACAACATTGCGAATTTAGACTTCATCAAAATTTAACTGATGTGATATATGGGAATAATTTTGGAAATTCCAACTTGATCAAAATAATGAAAATCAGTGGAAATGGAAAGTACATTCTGATGAGTCCGTAACAGCAGCTATTCCAAACATTCCGGCAAAAATAAATCTTGAAAAAGTCCGACTAAGATGCCTTTTCTTTTGGAATTTAATTTCAGTCCAACCTCTTCACCGCTTTCCCAGAAAGTTTCACTGTTTCCGTCGATTAAGCATCCAATCATTGTTTGACGGCTTGATGCTTCATAACGCAAAATACCCGTAATATCTTCCATTTGTTTTACATCTACTTGTGCTAAAAAACAGAGTTGAGCGATTCGTAATTATATTGGACGTTGCCAAAAAGAGTTCAAGATTTGTACTTTCTAGCAAAATTTATAAGCTTTAAAAAGCTGTTCCTATTCTTCAGCAATTTAAAACTAACCAAAAAAACCGGCGTTTAATACATTGCAGATGGCTGAAACTTAAATCTTAAAAATTTCTAAAAATCAGATTTCAATATGATCCTTAATCTCACGTTTCCTAGGCAGGGATGATCTTCCATTATTAAGTGAGCGATAGTCTGCCTTTCGCTCACTATCGTCCAGATTCCACGAATGATCTGAGGATGAATCTGCCAGAACGTTACCAACACTTGTTAATACGTCGCATATAAGAGAAAGCAAATCCTGCAATTTAGCTTTCCTCGGAAACATTTACATGAAAATATGAACTCTATGGACTTCATAAATGAATTATGATAAATTGTTGTATGATGTTATGTGATGCCTTATTTGAAGTAAAGTTAACTTGCGAAAGATATTAAAAAAGTGAGTCATCAAGATGGAAGCATTTACTTAGATTTACATTATGCTAACACAGAGTTAACAAAAATTCACAAAGTATTCGGAAATTTTCAAAGCTATACGAACCTGTTCATGAACGGTTAATTGGAAGGTCCAAACTCGGAAGCATAAACAGCGTAGGTTTGTGTCTACACCACTTGACTGTACGATAACTGCAACGGTATGCAAGAAGGAATGTAGCTGTTGGACCATTTTATTGGCAACTGGGCCAGCTAAATAGCATACACTCCATGGATGTGGTAAAAGACGTAAATTTGTGGCTAAACGTAAATTATTTTTACGCCATCGACATAGAGGTACGTATGAGTTCATTGCTGTCAAATATTGCCAAAGAATATCGGCAACACTGAAAAAAGTATTACATAACAATATCACACGCTATAAAAATACATACTATGTTTGCTCATAAATTTAAAGGATATCACGAAATTCCTTGGACATATTTTCAACATATTATGCATATAAATTGTGTCCTAGAATCTAATTCAGTAACAAAGATTTTGATGGTCTCTAGCACAATTTTAAAACTATATAGTACAACTTGCATTTGTAATTTCTATCTCTTTATCCGTAAATCACTCAAGCAACATTATGCAAATCTGAAACAGTCTAATTTACTCAACTTTCAAAGATTTTAAAAACCTAAAATTTCGAAGAAAAATCATAACCTCAGAATTTCAAAACTGACCTAGATTCGGTTGAAACCAGTTTCAGAAGCCAATTCCAAACACGGAATGAATGTGCGAAAAATGTAGCACGAGCTACAGCGGTTGCCATCGCTTCTCGTATACGAGCCAAATTATGTCGTTCCATAACAAAAGAAAGTACTGGTCGACGAAGCGATACGTTTACATTTGCTAAAATATGGTGTATTTGAAAGAAAAAATGTTAAATAATATCTAAAGATTCGAAATTTGGCAGTCATTTATTGGCTCTTTTCTTCAACAACTGCACCTCTCCCCTTTTTACCTATTGACTTTTCACCATCATCAATAACAACTTTAACGTTTATTGATAATTGTATGATATACAAATATATTCTCAAAAATTCATCAGTTTTGGGTTGTACGACACCACATACATAACAAATGGTCTTTTCCATTATAGCAATTGAAATCAGAGTTGCCGTTACAGTATATCCAAAAGTTCACACGTTGTTATTAATAGTAAAAATGGAAATAAAAATACTTGAAAAGTTACGGCTACCCGAAATATTGTTCTGTTCAACCGCTACCAACAGTGATTTCAGTGCTATAGAAGGACTACGAACAATCTGCAAAAAAAAGAAAATTTTAAATTCATCCGAATTCTTAAGAAATTTTGGAAAAATGAACTGAATTTCGGACCAAAAAATTTCAGAAAACTGATCAAACTTTTAAAAATTGTAATTTAACATTACTACATAAATAAAGTTACTTCAGCTGACTGCCGTCTTTCGTATCCCTCTAACATCTTTCGACGTATCGAATTAACTAATTCACTTTGGTTGGAAGCATTTGTTAAGGGCGAAGAACCAAGCTAAAGTACCACATTAATTAAATTTCTTAAAATTCAATTCAAAAATAAGACATCGACTAATAGCTCCATTCCATTCTAATCAACTCTTTCATCAAAACTTCATGATATCCATAGACAAATGAATCTTCCCTTATATCTCCGCTTGTATTGAATATTAGTGACCTGTCAGTACAACTCACCCGTTTCTTTGAATACAACGGATTATAGTTTGAAAAAGCGAGATGAGTCCCGACACCAGCATGCTTTGGTCCTGGATCACTGGCATACGATATTTTTCGCATAGGACAACAATTTTCACGTGCATTTGATAACTGCTGTAAGTTTCCGCCATTAGTGAAACATAGTCATCCAGATGAAATACTAAATTTCTAGATTGCGAGATTCGGAATTTGAATTTTTCATGCAAATATTAATTTTCAACCGTTCTGTACAATTATAATGTAGGGGACTGATTTCTGTTTTATTCAAACCTCAAGATTTTAAGATTTTGAGTTACAGCCTCAGTCAGTGACGACTAATTCCCATTCATATTCGAACACCTGACAATTAACTACTAGGATAACTGCTCCAAAATGAAACATGAGTTTTTGGGCCTGATTTCAGGATTGATTATCCGATGTATTGCGAGCTCTATTGCCATCTTAGAATTCTCACTAGAAATGAGTATTAGAAAATCAGACGAGAACAAGCGATCTTGTTGGTTTCTGTAATTTAGACTGTAATCTTACCACGCGAATCATATATACAATACCAACAATTTTCAAAATTATTGACAAAATTACGAACCGGCTGTGATACTATTCCAACATCCGTTTTTATACACGCAGAAGTCATTATTGGTGTTAGGACGGATGCTTGTGGGAAAAGATTTATTGTCCATCCTGATGTTGTTGTTGACGTATCCTTACTCTCACCTTCCATACATGCATTCAGTTCCATCAGAAACATTGCATTCTGTTTGATTACTGCTTCTGGAGTAATTTCTGCAGCAGCTGAGGAAGCGCAAAATTCCTGCCATCGACGGCTTCGCTCCTAAAACGGACGTTCCGACATAATTCAAAAAAGTTGTCATCCAAAAACTATAACGAGCTTGATAAGTTCAAATTATTTTTTGAATTCGCAGTAAGTGGAATAAAAAACGATGAGTATCGTTTAAAGCTTTAAAGAGTAATTTCAAAAAAAACAAGACCCAAAAGAAGGCATTTCACTTTCAGTAATAAGAAGTCTTTAAAAAATTTCAATTTCCAAGGAGAGTACACAATATGGAAAATTGCAAGTGACGGTTGCGTCTGGGATACTGTGGTAACGAAATGTCGAAGATTCAACCAATGAAAAGGAGAAATCTCTGAATACTGTCCTCTTTCCTTCTCAATAAATTCCAATTCTGGAACACAAAAGCAATCGGAAGTCTATATATAATACCTGCTGATGTCCGGATGGAGTTTGTAGCAAATATTTTGATCGGCATGCGTCACACATCAAATACCTAAAATGCCAATAGTTTTCTAAAACCTAGAGGATTTTAAACGATCTTGAAATAGATAAATCGGCTAAACAAATGGTCAGATTTACCAAACAGCACTTGGTCGTCCACCATCGCCACAATTTCCTGACCAACCATTTGTATATTTACCAGAACTGTTATATCCCTGACCACCGGAATATTTGCCACATCCAGGATGTGCCATGCGCATGTGCGTGGTCACTGGTGTCGTGTGCCATTCTTCACAAAGCTCACATAAATCCTTCCGCTGAGCTGATGATGATCCCTTAACAATAACCTTTCGTTTTTTTCCTTCATAAAATTATTGACATTTTTTTTAAATCTTCAAATGTGCTTCTCATGACCAACGTGAAGAATACGATTAACAAATCAATAAAAATTTAAATTAAAAAAAAAATTGGCGAAAGAAGCAACAAAAAAACGGAAGAAAAAAGAACCTGCCGAGAGGTACCAGGACTAGGTTTTATTGGTTTCACGTTAAATTGTCGTGTGGTTCTTGGACATAAAAGTATTGAACGTTGTTCAATACTGGTTTGCACTGCCGCATTAATTTGAGGAAGTATTATTTCTGATAATTATTGATTTATGCATACTTTACCATAGAATCATATACAAATATAATAAGTGAAAGTTAAAAAATAGTAAAGTAAATTGGTATGAATAAGGAAGACTAAGGCTCGTTAGTGTAATCTAAAGCAAAAACTTATTAAAGCCAACGGATACACTACCGGTTCCTCACCAAGTAATGCAATTTTCCCACGGCAAACACCGGCACACTTAATGAGTGCTCCTCTGA